TACTAACTACTAACTACTAACTACTAACTACTAACTACTAACTACTACTACTACTACTACTACTACTACTACTACTTACAATTAACAACTACTTACTACTACTTACTACTACTTACTACTACTTACTACTACTTACTACCACCTACTACTACTACTACTTCTACTACTACTACTACTATGACTACTTACTACTTAACACTTACTACTTACTTACTACTTACTACTTACTACTACTACTACTACTACTCCTGCTGCTGCTGCTCCTGCTCCTGCTACTGCTACTGCTACTGCTACTACTACTACTGCTACTGCTACTACTACTACTGCTACTACTACTACTACTACTATTACTACCTACTAACTACTAACTACTAACTACTACCAACTACTACAAACTACTACTATCTACTACTATCTACTACTACGACTACGACTAGCACTAGCACTGCCACTACGACTACGACTACGACGACGACGACGACTACTACTACAACTACTACGACTACCACTACCACTAGGACGACGACGACGACTACTACGACTACGACTATACGACTACGACTACGACTACGACTGCCACCACCACCACCACCACCTTTTTAGGCAGAAGCGCCGAAGCACAGAGGTTTGTTTCCACTGTTTTGTTGTGCTTTCAACCGCAAGGATCACGCACAGGTCCGATAATGAAACTACGCAAGCTGTGACCTGTGGCCACCGACCAAACATGCTATCAGCCCCACCCGACCCCACGCAGACCCCCCAGTCTGCAACACACCATTCCCACATGACAGAGAAAAACGTATTCGCAGGTGGCATGGGAGTTTGTGCGCAGGTGAATTCTGATGATGGAAGTGTGCTTTGAAAGTCAACCAAAACGTGTGTGAACAGGGTAGCAACATTTGTGTCAGGTGAGTGAGATGTCCACCAGAAGGTGTATGTTGATCTTGATGCATGTCACAGGCCATGATCCAAAAGATTTCGATGCGGTGTTTTTTTTTAGACTTGTAGCGAGTGCCATAAGAAAGGACTGAGGCGCTAGGCTGATGGGTTATGTCATTTGAGGATGGTTCTTTCCTGTGTTTACTCACCAAATCCTTGTTGGATTCAGATCCAATGTTTGCAGTTTGCAGAATTGGTTGCTCCGGAGAGTTCCAAAGAAACCTATGTGCTCAGATTGGCCTACGGTGGACTGAGTTGGATAGAGTCGGGTTTGAGGTTTGGATTTGATTTGGAGTTGCATGAACCTGTCTCTCCTGCAGCGTACAGAAACGCCTAGCAAGAGGGTGTTGTGGAGTTGGGGTCACTGCATGAACCTGTATGTCATAATATCTTATATCATCTCCTGCAAATGCAACACACAAACACACACAAGCAAAAATGTGTGTCTTTTTTTGCCAAGGACAATTTATTTGCGGGTTGCTTCACTGTTTGATGCGCGACAAGCTGGAAAGATGAGTCAAAACGGGTGGACACATCATTTGCAAAGTCTATCAAAGTCTAATTTAATTTGTTTTAAATAAGGGTGACCCACCATCGGATTCAACATATCGTACAATACACTTCGAGAAATACCTCCAGAGCCACTCGACTTGCACTCTTCAACTCTGGCCCCCATTCATCTCAGGCCGAAGCCAGCGTGGGCGCAGGCAGGATGGACTCAAGCATCCAAATATCAAGCTACTCAAGCTACCCGCAACACAAAACAAACAATCAAATCCATGAAGACTTGGCCTTCACTAACTGATGCATGGAATATGCAACAACCACTCCTAGCTTAGCTCGGTGGGACCCCCTTTTTGCATACGCGCGGCAAGGACATGCCCCATCGGACCGAGGACCTCAAGTGGATCATCCTTTTCGCCCCTGGAACCGAGACTCCTGAGGTAGAACTCTCCCCTAAGATGCTCAAATCATCTTCCAAATCCCGTCCACCGGTTTTATGGAGAGTTGAGTTTTGACGCATGCCCTACTGCCCTGAACCGGGCTGTGGCATGGACTGTCCGCAAGTTGCGCTATGGAGAGTTGAGTTGTTTGATGTTGTTTGTGCACGTTCCAAAGCCACCTGCACCGGCAAGACCTGACCTTCCAGCGACGCAGATCTTCGCGCAGTTTGACGGTTGGGTCACGAATTGGCGACAGATCGGTTTGGGGATTTGGGTTTGGATGATTGGATTGAACCGATCAACGACTGCCCACACTGCAGAATTTGGACCACTTTCATAAGGTTTGTATTAAGATGGGGAGACCTCCAGTGCGACGCCGTGCATTTGGTTCGGAAGTCTACCCAGCCAGGGCGAGAGGACTTGGGTGTCTCCCTATGGAAATAAACATAAATAAACAACATCATGTGCATGTGGTTTTTGTACAATGAAGATGCAGGTCATTATACCATATTATACCATATCAACACTTCTTTGGGGTTTTCATTTGTTGCCCATCGGGGGGACACCGGAGCGGAGCGGTCAAACCGACCGGAGCAAGCCCTTCGCTCCTCGCTCCAGCGGTTCAGGTGCCCCATTTCGTTGGGGTCGCCCAGCCCGGGGTTTCGGTGGTGATGCGATGTGCGGAAATGTGGCCAGGTAGGAGAAGGTCGACAAGGTTTACTTTTTGTTTTTTCCAGTCCATGTTTCTTCATGTTTATTCTATATATACACTGAATAAAAGCAGCAACAGGGCTGACAAGGTTGATGACGAACAGGTGTGAGCACCATCGGTCGGTTTCACCCGACTGAACAAGCCACGGGTGTCCAGCGACATGTCACATGTCCAAAATCTGATTGTTTCGAGTATGGAGGTAGAACGCCAGAGGTCATAGTTCAGGTTCATGATCTGGATGTTCTAGCTGTTGCACCATTGTATGGAGTTTCTTAGGACTTGAAGAATGATCAGTCCATGCAAGGCTTTTTCAGGCAATAAACCTGACAAGGATGAGTCCAAATGATCCAGATCCAAAACTAAATTCAAGGATTGGAGGCTGCGGCATGTTGAGGGTCCGTCAAGGCATGCATGGACTGGGGGTTGATCTTGGAACAGGCGGAAGGTGAAGAGGCATGGAGACACCACCATTGAGGAGCATCGTATGTAATCAATCAATCTTGTTTTTCTGGAACTTGGGCAAGGATTCACCAAAGCAGTCCCCGCTGCCGTTGATGCCCTATTCCGCTCAGGTTTACGCAAATGGCTGATGTTGTTTGAAGACCTAAGCGCTTTCTAGAGACACAGACCATGGCGGAATTTGTACAGTACATACTATATGATATTAATATACTATATCACAACTACATCGAGCACCACAAGCACAGCAGATGATCTCTTAGCCAGATGAACCATGAGATGTTCACCTACCTGGTAGTCACCATCCACTACCAAGGTAGTATTTGATGGATTAGTTGAGTAACTGTCATATGCTGGTGTGTCGTGCTTTGCACGTCTACTCCTTGTGAAAACCCACACCATCCTGCAAACTTAAAGGCCACCATCTTTAGAACATGCTAAAGTTTCATGCTCCAGTCACAACGGCGACATAAAAGGCCGAAGCTTGGAATTGAACGCCCCTCACTCACCCAAGCAGAAGCAACCACAAAACAATCTCATGTTTCAATCATGTTCAACCCAGTTGAACAGTTCAAGCGAGACCCCAGCCGCTCCGAGATTCCTTGTCAAAAGCCACGTGCCGACGCCCGCGCGTGCCTCTGCACGCGCGGGAGTCGTTGGCTCGCCATGGGACGGCGAGGGCAGAAGAGTTCAGGACACGATGAGCGGAACAAAGGTATCCTGGATGGATAAAGCAGGATACGCTCGGGCAGGTAGGTTGTTGCGGGGGGCAGGATCCTTTCAGTCTAATCCGTTGCTGGCTGGGAATCAAACTGCTGTGAGTCAGCATAAATCCAACTATACTTGGTAGGAAGGCACCAGTCGCTAGTTGCTAGCTCGCAGGAACGCAAGCTTTCTCATCCCCTCCCAAGCCTCCACTCAAGTCAGACTCAAGTCAGACTCTGAGAGCCACCAGCGAACCGGCTTTTTGGCCACAGCTTTTGGTCCGATGTCTTCACGGGCCACGGTGTTTGCGGGGCCAGAGCGACGTGTTCGTTGCCCGTCGCGCTCACGGGCCCGTCACGTCGTCTCCTTCGGTGCGAGAGAGTTCAGGTGGGCCCGTGTCGCAGCTCGTTTCTTGGCGGAGAAGACCCCGGGGGAGCCATGGGGAGCGACCCTGGGAGATCGTGGGAGAGGTATGACAACCAGGTGGATCCCTTTTTGAAATATAGTAGGCAGTCTTGGCTGGGCAAAACGATGATCAATCACCAAGCGTTTTGAAGGTGTTGGACGTTTTTGGTTGTTTGTGGGTGAGGTTTGCAGAACATACAGAAGAATGAACATGGCCATTGATGGGACTGGGGGTTCTTGTAATTTGGTTTCTCTTTCGGTGATATGACATTTTCATTTTCCCTTTTGTATATGCCCAGGTCCGGGTTGCTTGTCCACTTGTCCCCCGCGGCTCTTTTCGCCGAAACGATTCATGAAGCGTTGCCTGGGTCTTCTGAAGCCCACCGTTCCACCCTTTCTTCGCGGCGACGTCCACGCCGCCGATCGCTGAGGAAGACCTCATGCGACGGCGTGGAGTGGATGCTGCCTGGGATGCCCTCGAGGACGTCATGGGAGCTGAACATAGCTATTAAGCTCCTTAACATGCGTGTGTATGCATGCGTAAGCGTGCGTGAAACATCATGAACATATCATTTACACGCATGGCCCTGAAACCACCAACCACCCAGTAAGCACCCTGCCCGTTTGAGGCCGGTCTAAAAAGCACCTGCCGATCCGCAGAGGGCCACGTCCAGCGTGACTTGCGATGACTTGTACATACTTGTACCTTCATTTGATTTGCATTTGATTTCGGTGGAGATCTTGGAGCCCTTTCCTACCAAGACCTCAGCCCTTTCCTCACTTTGGGCTGTCTGATAGACTCGATTCGACTCGATGAACTGTTTCGCGTGACATTTTGGTTCAAAACCGCTGAACTGTTGGAAGATGCAGCGCCAAACTGGATCCCACGGAACCATATTATGGAACCACCGTGCACTACTGCGTGCACCGTCCAGCCTTCGAGAAATCTTCTCCCCACCATGCAACCCAAAAAACCACCCAACAGCTGCAAGAGAATCATTTTGGTTTGCTATGATTCCTTGGGTGACCTATTCTTTGATGTCTTTTCAAGGGCGATTCCCACGGTTTCCGCGGCCTTTTTGGGAAACTCGACCCGCCATGAGCTGCGAGACTCGCAAGATTGGTGCGCTGGCCGTCTTCGTGCTGGTCGCAGGCGATCTTCGGAGATCGATTCGAGTCGGACCGTTGCGGCGGCGGGGACCCATGCGGCGGCGCTCGGCCCTTCGGCCCTGATAGCCGAGTTGAAACCGTACTGTACCGGCATCCGTACCGGCATCCGTACTCGGCTTGGGCCCTGAAATCCAACCCTGAGGTTTGGCCCTCAGGCCTTTAATGTAGACGGCGACTCTTGATGAATTACAGTAGCCCTGCCATAGCCCCCCCCATTTGGAAATACCATGAAATACCTCTTCAGATCGGAGGTTTATCAAGAGTGTTGAAATTCTGCACTTCGCAGACCTCTTGCGATTGGGGGTGGAAGGCTCCCTGTGGGTAGTTTATCTGAGGACGGGAAAAGATATCGGCGATGTCAGTGCCGACGTTCAGCTTTTTTTGGATTGTTTGCAAGTTCCCAAAGACCCACGGAACATGCTATAGTATAATAGACTGATAAATTAGAATTGATTTAGACTCATGATTGGATTTGTAGATTTTGTAGATTAATCATAAGACTCATGACTCATGATTAATACAGTATAACAAAATCACCCCAATTGGATAGAAGAACATAGAAGAACCTCTCAGTCTCATCACCAGGGTGGACCAGGAGTCGTTGTTCTGCGGCTGGATAGTTGTTGTGATGGTTTTTACCAACCTTGTCGTAGCCCTGCCATCCGCCCCAAACCATCCTGCTTGGATTCGCTTTGATTGATGATCTCCAGGAAGTAAAGCTTCCAAACTTGTGGAGATTTCGCTGTTACTTAAGATTGGAGGGTTTGGTTGTTTGGACGTTGCCACCGAGACCTTGCAATTCATTTTCTTGGGGTAATTAGTCATCTAAAGTAAAGGAAGGAAAGGATGTGGGACAACCTACAAGTTCTAGAAGCAATCTTACTTACCTTAGGAAATTGAACTGGGTTTTAGAATTAATTAGGTCGATTGAATGATCTGATAATAATATTAGGTGGTTAGTAGTATTCAATCTATAGAATATATATACTTCTCTACATATTGAAGACACATCATCGGAACATCTGTGCTTTGTTTGTTTGGCCAAAGTGGCAAACCCTGGGAGGAGGCCTTTCTTGTATTCCACAGCTGAAGCAGCTGAAAGACACTCGCTTATACCTTCAGCTGGTTGGTAACGAAATTTCCTCCCTGAGCACTTATCAAGGATTTGCAGAGAGCCTGGAGCCGCACGGGGAAAGCCGGCCGAGTGTGGTGCCCTTGGACATGCGCTTGCGTCGACATGCAGGATTGTACAAGGACAAGAGCAAAGCTCCGGAATTGA